CCCTTCCTTTTTAATATATATAGACCTCCTTTATTTCTGGAACAGTAGTCTGAGAGAAACGTTCCTGATGGAAATTGAAGAATGAGACATACGTCTAGTCTTTTACAATGTCTAGAAAGTAAAAATCCTTAGAGCATTGTTATGTGAAACAAGGTAAGCATAGTCATACAATCCTAACTGCTTTTGGTAAATTTCATCAAGGTATGAGTTTATTATGTCCAGTCTTTTGCATAACTATGTCTTATACCAGGATCGCCTTTTCTTTTTCAAACATCTTGCTGCCAGGTCAATATGGAAGTTTCAGTGGATGTTGGGCAAATTCCTAACCTGGAAGAATTTGTCAGCCACTTAACTCAGTCCATGCATTCCCTTGTCCCTGAATCTTTGGTCATATGGTAATATCATGAAACAAAAGCTTTGTTTAAAATTAAAAGCAGCTGAGTTGTTCTTTCTTTCTTGTTCCTGGATCTTTGGTCCTATGATAATGTAATGAAACAAACTATTTCTTCAAAGTAAAAGAGCAGCATAATTGTTCTGTCTTATCGTGATGCTACAGGTATGATAGCGTCACTGTTGATGGGAAGCTTAACTGGCAAGATCAACTAAATGAAAAAAATAAGCCTTTTTTCGATATATCTGATGGTATATTTGTGAACTACACCTGGCAGGTATTTCATCCTAATCTTTAATTATGTTTTTTCAGGTTAACAATAATTGCTAAAGCCTGTTTCTTCTATACTTATAGGAGAATTATCCTAAGCAATCAGCTGAGGTTGCCGGTTACAGAAAGTTCGATGTCTATATGGGAATTGATGTCTTTGGAAGAAACACTTATGGTGGTGGACAATGGACGGTGGGTTTGTATACCACGTAGGGAAATCAAAATTTCCATACCTTATCGGCTCATCCTCTATGCTTGTTTAGTAGTGCTAAATACATAACCCATAGTGTTGTTCTGAACATTTAACTTGTAAGTTAATGTTTTATACTGTTTGATATTGACAGAAATATTATAAGATTGATGATGTTAAATGGTTTGAGATCTTTATTAGTGAAAAGTCCTTCCTCCTTGTTTGTCTCTTTGATTATTCAAAGAGAGAGGGATTAGGGCCTACTATTGTTTCTGTTAAAAGATTAAAGGATTATCTTATGTTTGACCTGAAAATGTCTTTCAACCAGGATTCTATCTTTACTATGAGAGTAACAGTTATGCTTTTTTTTCTTCTTTTGGCTAGGTTCTTTCTATGGACTATATCTGACCAGATGTAACTTTGCTGTGAGATAGGCAATTAAGAGCTGTTGAACCTCATAAATAATCATCAACCTTCTATATTACAGCATAAGTCAAAATTGACTAAATCAACCTTGCTCATCATCTAACACGAGTAGTGAACTCCTCAAATTTTACGATTTTAATGAACTTTCAAAAAATTACCTGATAGAAGTGTCTATCATGTAAGTTTTCTTGAAAGATTCTTGTTACACTTTCATCTATCTCAAAGCATCTTTCAATCCCTACCTAAAGTTGGGAGACATTTCCTTCATGGTTTCTTTTTTCTCGTCCATTATATCTTCTCTAAACTTTCATACTTTTCACAGAAAAGTGGATCCTATACACACACATTGCTATTTATATGCGAATTCCAATTTTTCCCAGTTCAGTGACTTAAACAATATGCGTCACTTTCAAGCTTGTTAGAAAATACTTGCACTGTCTGATTGTTGAAAACTTCTTTTAGCCATTTAGGAATCTTATGTAATAGTACTTCCAGAAAGGAGGAATCAAATTCACGAAAGTAACCAGCTAATAAGGTTTTAGTTTCACTGTCTCTGTTAATAAGTGGTTTGTTTGAGCTGTTGGCAGTAAAACGCATTTACAGGATTACTCCAGACCACTCGTTTAACCTTTTTCTAGGCTGTCTAGCCACTTCGGTTTACCCAATGAAAAAATAATCTGATTCTGCCTTTTTATGCAGACAAATTTGGCACTTGATGTGATTAAGAGGGATAATGTGTCAGCTGCCATATTTGCTCCTGGATGGGTGTACGAGACAAAACAGTTACCTGACTTTCAGACTGCGCAGAATCGGTCCTGCACTGTCTGCCATGATATCTCTTAAAAGCTTCTTTGTAAAGAATAAGAATACTGCTTTCCGATAAAGATTACTCAGATTATTTTAAAGATTCACATAATTTCTATATCCTGATTTCCTTCAATTTCTTTTCGTGTAACCACCGCCTCCCACATAAAGGTCTTTCTCATGGTTTATATTATAATTTTTTAAAAAACATCAGATATCCTTTTCTTCATCTGGTCTTTCCTTGGCAAATGATAGCCACACTGCCAGCAATATGGAAGATGAGATCCAATAGATAACTTAAGTTGCCAAGTCAAAAAGGAAAGTATCTCCTTTTCTACATATGTTTAAGTAACCAAGCCAAAAATGAAGTCTCTTCATTTCAATCTATATGACATTTTATTTTAAAACGCCTCGGAAAATTTTATGCACTTCTACAATTAAGTACTATATAAAAGTTACATTCAAGACATTTAGAGTTTATTACCACGAGTTTCCCTGCTAAACAAAATTTTCAACTGATACCTTTAACTTTCTCTTCTGTTACTACTGCTGTCATATGCAATTTAAAATGATTTCTTAATCTTTGTTTCCAGTCAACTTGTGTCACATAAAATGGGACACTCTGAGTGGATTTTATGATACTTCTTGAATGTATGTATAAAAACTGTGTTGAATGTCTTCGCAGATTTTGTATATACTGCAGCATTAGCATATATACAGTTGAACTACACTGTCCATTTTGGTAATTGAAAAGTATATGCTTTATGTTCACCATATCTTAATGAAAATGCTTTAACATGCAGTTGGTGGGGGCTTGTAGAAAGATCATGGGATATTTCACAAAATTATCCCCTAACTCTTCCATTCTACTCAAATTTCGATCAGGTATGCCCTAAGCTTGATTGTTTTCAAAAATCTTGTTTTGTGTTTCCTTTGTTCTTTTACAGAATACAACAACAACATATCCAGTATTATCCCACACCGTTTGTTCTTTTACAGAATAAATTGCAGATTTATTGCTTGTAATTTTTTCCTATCAATACCAAGGTGGAGTGACTCCATTAGATCCTTGTGTGAAGGACCAGTTATGTTTGAACTCCTTGTAGAGTAGTTCACTAGAGCAGTTCAACCAGTATGCTTAGCAACTTTTGGTACTTTTATTAGAAACATGTTTACACTTGTTTACGGTGAATTTGAAGAAGCAAATATGATGGTTCCAGAGTGAAAGAAGCAAGTATGAACCATTGCTGGTGGTTCCTGCTGGGTGGAGATGGGAGGAATTGAGTATTGTCATAGTATTTTAATTAACTTGATTAACAACACATATATAAGCTGGTTCAAACGGTCCAGTGTTTAGAGGAACCGATCCAGAAACTTCAGACTGAAGGCGCCACAAAATGCATAAGCAGAAAGGTGAAACTTAGTTACATGGGGCATCTGATAAAATTGTCAAGTACTGAATGTTAAAGGAAAATACAAGCTATTTGCAAATCTTAAAAGGGTCCATATCTTGGTCCAAAGGTGGCTTCTTCTATGACTGTTTATGAATAGCGGGGGAAAGGCTAAGACAATCGAAATGTTTTCTAATTCCAAAAGTCTATGAGGTGGCAATGCCCACTAACATCCTTGTTATCATAATCTCAGGGTCATGGTTACCATATTTCTGTTGATGGAAAGCAAATATCACAGACTCCTTGGAATAACATTTCTTCGCAAAGCTTTCAGGTGTCTTCTGGTATCTGTATGTTTTTTCTTGGTTTTCAGTTGTTATTAAATGCAGTAATTTCTGTAGTTTAAATATAGCATTTATCAGAAGTTCCAATTTTCAAAAAATTCTCTGTTTTATTTTTTGTCCTCTGAGATCTAGAAAGAGCATTGAACTCTAATATTTAAATGTTACAATCATTATAGACAATTCCATTAATTAGTTTGGTGTGTGGCTCCTCCAGCTAATATGTATGTCCATATCTTCTCATTTACTTTCTAGTTTTGCATTATGTCATAGTTATCATCAGAAGACGTTTCTGTAACCTTGTTTCTGCTTCTTTGGACATAAATTCCCATAGTAAATTGCGTCGCTGAGATGCTCACTTGGAATCCTTCTGCAAGACTAGAAAGCATCCATGCAATTAGGCACAACCCATGTTGCCTAGAGTGGAGATCTATGTTGCTCGGACTCTTCGAAAATGTGGCAGGATACGTGTCGGATCCTCCAATAGTAGTGCATTTTTGAAGGATCCGACACGGGTGCGGCTACATTTTGGAGAGTCCGCGCAACATAGGTGGAGATACAGACTGTGTCCTTTTTTTATTCATCCATTTCTTAAATCCTTTGTACAGTGTCTTCCACATGTCATTAGTGTCAGCAAAATTCAGTTTCACAGGGATGTCTTGAATTATGACTCGCTCTTCAGATGCATTTTTTGAAAAGAATATAAGTTTGACTCGAGTGTAAGTGACTAGAACTTTCAACACATCTGGCGTTTCCTTCTTGTTATTCCCTGCTTGAATTTGCCTTCAACTTGTGAAGTATCATCCTTGCATTTTGTTTGTGAAAATTAACCACAACGCAAAGTAAAAAGTTTAAATGTTGATAAGGGTTGTCACTTGTGCAATCAGCCTAACTCTTCATATGTTTATGAGTGTACTGATGTTACTTTAGCTCTTAGATTCTAATCTACTATACCATGTCATCACTAAGATTATCCATTTCCCCTTTCTAAATTCCTCACCCTTGCTAATTACACATTCGTCTCAGCCTCTCCTGGAGTTTTTTGGAGAATCTACTGCAGGGAATCTAGAAGTTGTTGTTGAGTAAGTTTCTTGGCTTGTTATGTATTTAGTTTTTGATCGTCCTGACTTTAACAGTTTTCTGTCAGTGATAGTCTCTTGTTTCAGTCTGATGATCTATAACCTATAAATTCATTTGAAGCATCTGGCACTTGAATTCTGGAGAAAATTGTTCTCTGTGTAAATCTTCTTGCATAAGTTAGACGCTATCGCATGTAAATTGTAGAGTCTCTTTGTCTTCCTCTATGCAATGCTGTTCTAGATTAGAAAATTGTGAGCCATTGGTGCACCAAAATTGTCTCTCTCTGAGACCTAATACATGTTGTGACACCATTTGAGCAGCTTCGTAATTTTGAGATAACAAAACATGTCCTTTGTTTCGAGAGATTCAAAATGCATAGCAATTGGGTATCACAAGTCCACCAGTTCAGCAACACAGAGCATTAGAGCATCTGACCAGCAAGTCAGATGAAAGCTGTCTGGTTTTGCTATTGTACTACATAATTTAGTTGGACAATCTACCAACTTTTAGTTCCCCAAATGTCCCCATATTCTAGTTAATAGTAGGGCACTGTCTTTCAACAAAAACATTTCCCCAATCTCCAGCCATCTTCGCTGCTTCCAATGACCTTCTGTTGGAACTTGGGATATCATATTCTTAGCAAACCCAGAAAAATCATTTTTTTCTCCATAGTGTTTAATCCCTGCAATCCTCCAATCTCCTTTTAGCAATTTCCACACTGGAAAATCTTCTATTATTTCTTTCTTCTGGGTTCATTGAAGAACATAAGCAAACAGGATTTTCACATCATCATTCAGAGGGAGTGAGTATTACTTTAATATTTGCAGGTTGAAGGATATATGAGAAGCATCTCTATCCTTTTTTCTTTTATATATAAATTTCTTTTTCTTGTCCTTCGAGGTCATCATGGGAAAGAATACCTTTAGAGTTGAATCTCCATAACAATCAAATCTAACCGCAGCACTCTGACCATCCCATAACTCTTATATTCTTCCCTTTGTTCTCTCTCTCTCTCTCTCTCTCTCTCTCTCTCTAGCATCTGCTCTGCCGTTAGCTTTCATTTTCACCTTCCTAGCTAATCACTTCTATTGATTGCTTATACTGAAGCTGCTACCAAATCCGCGCCTATGGTTGATCATCGGAAACTTGTACCAAATTTATCATGTGCTCCAGTTGTCGACCACAAACAAAATTGAAAGGGCCAAACATCATCGTAATAGCCTCCATCACTCACCAGAACTTTAATCAGCAGAATTGAATGACAAAGCCAAAACTTCCTGCAGACCAGCACCCAAATGTGCAGCACCAAAATATAAATTTGAAGCTACTCACTGACCAGCACATGTGGCTTTAATTGCCAATAAAAAACTCCAGAAATAACCAAACAACATATGAGAATTAATGTGCCGACCAGCAACACAAATTAAGACCCTGGCGAGAGACACACCAAGCCTAAGTTTTAGACAAAACAATGCAAATGGACTGAATTCTTAAAGAACAAGGACAAAATTACAGCAATGATAAAAGATATCACCCAAAATTAATGTACAAATGTTGCCTTCAAGTAATGAATTGGCAAGGGTAAATTTAGGTGTAGATAATGAAACGAAAAGTGGGTAGATTGTAAACCTAGTATATTCATGTAGTATGGTAGCAAAAATCTATCTATCTATATGTATGTGTGTGTGTGTGTGTGTATGTGTGTGTGTTGAGGTTTTATGTGCATGCTTTTGTTCATAAGATTGCTTCTAGCTTGTGCATACTTCTGCTTAATGTTTTGATTTGGGAACTGATCTTATGCATTGAACTTGACATGCGCTTGGATGGGGTAGTCTTAAGGTGCAATCTTATAATGGAGGTGGAAACCTAACATTCAATGGAACACTTGATGATGATATTCATTTCTCAGCAAGGTTGTTTGAAGGGAAGCTTCAGTTAGCAGATTCACCTGTTCACTTTACATTTTCTGTAAGCCATCTTTTTTTTTTTTCTGTATAAAGATTGTTAAAGTACTTAATTATTAACCATTTGCAAGGTTATACTGGTAACTTTCACCTAGCAGAGAAATCCTTGGAGAAGGATTTGTTACCTTTCTTGTGGATGGGGATTATACAACTGCAGCCAGTTATTTGTTGTTGACCTGATAGTTCTGCTGTGTTGTATCTCAGCGCCCTGTAATAATGTAATTCTAGGTGATAAAATTCCTTACATTACCTTGGTCTACAACATTAAATGTGCAGGCTTTTTCTAAAGAATGGGTAGTATGTTTAATTTTATTTTCTGTTTTTTAAGTCATCCTTCTATCCTACTTGGCGCATTTCCTGAGATTTATTAACCTTCCAAATAGCCCAACTTCAGAAGAAATATGAAGAGTTCATGTCATGATGAATAGTTGAATACATGTATTATGTTGTGCCGTTGTCGTTCCTTGTTCATTTATCAGCTGATACGTGTTAATGCAGGTAAAATCAAATGGAAGCTCTTTGTTGGGTTTGTCTCTTGAGTTCACTTCTGCTGTAAGGAAGCAAAAATCAGTATTACTTGCTTCCTGGGGAGATTCTTTGATGACTATGACCCGTTTTGTTAGACATTTTGACAATGTAATAATGCCTCGTCGTGTTACTAAGCTAGAGACTGAACCATCATGGGTCATACTAGAAAGTAGTATCGCAATGGAAGGATACATGTTAACAAAAATCCATGCTGTATGCTATAAGTTAAGACCTGAAGTTCACAAATCAGAACGTCAAGGTAAAACCATGGCTTTTTCTCCAACAGAATATCATGCGGTGCTTGGTCATCTTGCAATAGATAGTCGTACACAGAACTCGAACTTCCCACCATCAACTTCATGGCTTGTTGACGGTAATTACATTGAATGGTCTTCCGGTTCTCATGGCTCCAGGAAACTTAATGTCAAGCTTGTTTGGAAATTGAAAGACGGAAAAACTCACCTATTCCCTAAGTATTATATCTATGTCAAGAAACAACCCAATCTCTCAATTGCAGAACCAAATAGATCACTTCAGCTAGTCCAGGAGTACCTGGGAGTTGCGGAAGTTGAAGCATTTTATGTATCTGATCTAGTAGTTTCCTCTGGCACTTCAAGGATCAAATTCATTATTCAAGTTTGCAGCCTGGATGGAGCTTTCCAAAAGCTAGAAGAGTCTCCATCTCTTGATTTAGATGTTCAAGGTTCGTAAATGTTGTTACTTTATATTCTATAGTTAAATTATTGCATCTGTTCCAGGTTCTATAGGAGAAGACTAAAGTAATGTTGATATACTTAAACATGCCGTAGAATAATTTGGTTTATGTATACAGCTTGTTATACCTCTACAATAATGTACAACAGTGCAAGTATTTAACGTGTAAAGGTAGTATCTTGTATCTTCCTCTCTTCATAATGCTTTTAAGCAATGAGATTGCTGCATATGGTTAACAGGTATAAGCTTGACTAGAATAGGAATACTGGAGCAGCCTATATTCAATCTAGAGGACAAGTCCTTATATTTATAAGATGATTCATTCTGTTTGGATCGGAATAGTTGGGGTGTACGCAAGTTGGCTCAGATTCTATCGTCATCAGAAAAGATACTTTTCTTTTAATTTCTAAATTGTTAATTTTAACTTAAGACAAAACCAAGATGAGCATAACAGAACAAGAAAACGAAAAGCTAGAAGGGGAGCTAGAATTTGAAAAGCAATACTTGTAATAAAGGAAAAGCGTGTTCTTTTGTTTAAAGTAAATTGTTAGTGTAATAAAGACAAAACAAAGAAGAGCATAGAAAAACAAGAAAAACCAAAAGCCAAAAGGGGGAACAAAATTGAAAAGCATTACTACCACATGGAACAACCTTCATTTGGAAGCATTGGCCTCGAGCCTTAAAATAGAGGCATTTGCATCTATACCCGCTTTTTGGATTACATTTTAATTTGTGCTCGTTTTGTAAAAAAGAAATTGCAAGCGTACCCACTTTTTCGCGTAATTTCAGCATACGGGGCTGAAGTAGCAAAGGCAATCACGCAAAACTTCAGCATTCTAGTAGACGGGACTGAAGTATCAAGTGTGCTGAACCAAGTGTGTGAAGTTTTTGTTTGTAATTGTTGAATTTGTTTTTGTAACTGGCGAATTTCAGCTCTAGAGCTGAAGTTTTTGTTTTGCAACTGGCGAATTTCAACTCTAAAGTTGAAGTTTTTGTTTTTGTAACTGGCGAGTTTTTGTTTTGTAACTAGCGAATAGTTTTTGTTTTGTAACTGGCGAGTTGCAGAGACGAGGTATCCTCAGTTAGAAAAACTTGCACTTGCGTTAATCATGGCATCTAGAAAGTTAAGACCTTACTTTCAGTGTCATCCTATCGTTGTGGTAAATACCTGCCCTTTACGTAACATATTACATAAGCATGAGTTATCAGGTAGGTTAGCTAAGTGGACAATAGAGTTAAGTGAATAGTTTAGAGATGACACTAAGTGCTGTTTTGGTCCGAGAAGAGCAAGGTAAACAATCACCTATCTATTACGTAAGTACATCTTTGTTAGATGCAGAGACGAGGTATCCTCAGTTAGAAAAACTTGCACTTGCGTTAATCATGGCATCTAGAAAGTTAAGACCTTACTTTCAGTGTCATCCTATCGTTGTGGTAAATACCTACCCTTTACGTAACATATTACATAAGCATGAGTTATCAGGTAGGTTAGCTCTAGAGCTGAATAGTTTTTGTTTTGTAACTGGCGAACTTGAACTCTAGAGTTGAAGTTTTGTTTGTAACTAGCGAAGTTTTTGTTTTTGTAACTGGCGAATTTCAGCTCTAGAGCTGAAGTTTTTGTTTTGTAACTGGCGAATTTCAGCTCTAGAGCTGAAGTTTTTGTTTTGTAACTGACGAAGTTTTTGTTTGTAACTGGCAAACTTCAGCTCTAGAGTCTTCTTTCCTTCATAATGATACTGTCACGAAAACATGAAAATAGCTGCTTTACTGTCACATAAAACATTCAATAGCAAGGATACCTCATCTTATAACTCTCTAATCGGACCAATTATTTAGATGATTAGTTCGACAACTAACCATCCAAAGGAAATGTTAATCGATATTTGATAAAGCAAGAAACTTTTTAAAAATTTACATAAACCAATATGCTGCTGCTAATGCCATGCATTATCAAATAGGATCTGTAGCTTCGTCATTTAACAGATCATCTATGGCCACCATTCAATCAAGCAAGGACCTTTAGTCACGGACTTCAGAAAAAGGTTGAGGGCGGATATAACTTTGAGGAGGAGAAAGGGGGCTGAAGTTGTTTAATAAGTGGGTACAAGTTTAAAATTTTTTAAAAAAATGGGTATAAGTTAAATGTGGGCGACCAAATAGGGCGCCCCGTACAATTTTTACCCTAAAATAAACAAAAAAAAAAAGAGAGAAAGAAATGGGTACAACGTATCTTATTTGGTCTCCAAAAAAAACCAGAGTACGTTAAGGTAGAATGATTAAAATCATTATTGGGCTTTTCATTTGACTCTTCTACCTCTTTCATCTAACCCCACTCAGAGTTTCATGTACTTAACATAATCAGAGTCATGTTTTGGAGTCTTCTGGTCCCCCAAAATTAAATTCTCTTAATTTTTATCTTTATGTTTTCCATCATCTTACAAAAAGTCTCAAAGGTTTGATGATGTAGACATTGTCAATGGACATGACACGTACATGTATTCATGATTAAGGTACTCAGTCACGGACTGATATCAGAATATTTGAGAGATCATATTCTAAACCCTATATAATTATCACTACTACAATTTATTAGTTCCGTCTAGAAAAATCTCATGCAGAAAACTGGAATAACAAAATCTTGTAATATACCATTTTTTTCCTACTACAAGTATTCCTTCTCGAGTGTTTTTAGTTGGATAGATATGATATGATTAAAACCTTTGGTTTTAGTTGGATAGATTTGTTATATTAAAAAAATTGCAGGAGTATGAACTTGCTATTGATGGGAAACTTGTATTTTATTTAGTTGCTGTCTTTATTTCCCCTAAAATGTAAAGAATATTAAGAGTTATTTTCTCACTAGATGTAGTAGGATATGATCTAATTATCTGTGTCGTATACAAAATTTTACGCAAACAATGTTGGTATGTAGTACTTCGATTGTATAGCGTTTGTGTATTTAAACATGTAGTGGTCTAATTAATATTGCACTTCATGCACCTAATTGATTATACTTTATACTATCAAACTAGTGGTGTCTGTCTTATATAATGTATATACATATTGTTTCTTAGGAATATCATGCGCATATATAAAGAAAATTGTTTACTAGACGGTGCCGATTGACACTCCTTACCATAAGGGGTCGTTCGGTACAATGGTGGGATATCCCATGGGGTGGGAGATTTCATGGGATTAGTTATCACACCTTCTATATGGGATAACTAGTCCCACCATTTCAGTGTAAATATCATCCAAATATTAGTTAATACCTCAAACCAAACATGGAATAAAGTTAGTTCCAAACTTTATCCCATAATTATTATTCTTATCTCATGTACCAAAAGACCCTAAGGGTGCTTTGCCACTGTCTATGAAAATATCAGAATACGCCAAAACATAGCAATATCAGAGCAAATCAGATATGAGAGGAAGTTAGAAGGAGTCTAGGGCTATACTAAAATGAGTATATGAGACTTACAGAAGCGGATGGTACGTAGTACTAACCACGACTCGAATTATGGTGGTTGAAAATTCTCATGACGAACAGTCCCCCTGTTTCCACATCCTAAATATCCCTAAGTTTGAATGCAGAAAACTAACTCTAGCCATCTCTAGTCTAGGGAAAAAACTTTCCTTTTCAACACCCGTAGTAGTGTTTATATAGAGTAGTACTAGGGTTTTAGGAGGAGGACTAGCTAATAGATTAACAAGCTAATTAGCACCCCTTATGGGTGAAATCGACCCAATAACAATTTTCTAATAAGGGCAATGTCCAGAAAACTATATGACAAAACTCAAAGTGACTATGGAGAAAAAACAATTAAACTGGGGGGAGACAACAGAAGAACGACAGAAATAGGAGGGGTTGATAGAGATTGTAGAAAAAATAATCAATTTGACCTTGGGACATGCTTCAATATTAAACAAAAGCTAAGTAGGAATCTCTTTTTCTTTTCTAATTTCTACTAGATCAGTTGCCTACTTAATTTGTTTTATTTGCCCACCTTAACCAATAGCCTGATTCGAGACATAATCATGCTGTGAAATAGACCTTAAACAAATAATCTAGCTGATATTAATGTCACTGTTGTATAATATATATATAATTAGAATTCGTCGTTGAGTAGACTTTTCCATGAACTCGGACGATTTCTCGCACTACCTCCCACGTGAACGAACCATTACAAAGAACGAATTTTATCAAGTTTCACGTTTATGTATTAATTTAAATTTTATACTTACATTATATGTAGTATTTACACAACTAAATCACTTAAAATTAACGAGAAGATGATTGTGTGTTTAATATGAGTTGATAATATACCAGAGATTTGAATTGTCTATTAGAACGACTTAGCGGGCGTTTGGACATGAAAATTGTAAAATTTCAGGAAAAAGTGAATTTTTTTTCAAGTGAAAATGGTATTTGAAAATTAAAGTTGTGTTTGGATATGAATATAATTTGGAGTGTTTTTGAATTTTTGTGAGATCTGAAGTGAAAATTTTGAAAAATACCTTTTTGGAGTTTTTCAAATTTTCGAAAACTTCCAAAATTCATCAGTGAAAATAAAAAATTTCATGGCGAAACATTGATTTCGAAAAAAGTGAAAAATTTGGAAAAAATAAATCTTTTTTTTGGCCAAACGGGCTCTTAAATTACAGTAAACCTGTGAAAATATTCAACCATCGCGATAAAACCTAAATTCTTTTGTATGTGTTGATTTGTCTTTTTTCCTTCGCTTCTAAGCTTCCTTGGTTCTCCACCTTAATATTCATTCTTTTTTCCTATTCCTTCCTGGTTAGCCATTTGGAAAATGCATGTCATAGTTTAAGCAACGCATAGATATAAGATATAATGTGTGTCTGTGTGAACATTTTTTTCTTACAAAAAAGATGGTAACCAATTTATTTAAGCTCGTCCAAACATTCTACATTGAAATCAGGAAGATGCTATAGTCAAATGGTTTTCCCTTCTTTTTTTTTTAAAAATTCTTTTTCCTTTTTCACATTCCATTAGTCAAAACAGTGGGCTAATTTGTGCTTATATTTGGGGTTGGGTGCTTGTTGGTATAAACATCAAGCTTCTCGTCAGAATTTTTTTTTAAAAAAAGTTTAAGAGCAACATATTTTTGTTCACTTTAAATATATTTGTTGATGCATAAAAGGAAATGAATATAAGAATCTCCCCACCCTTAACCTGTGGTTTCTGGTTCGAGTTCTAGAATGGAAAAAATATTTTTTTCTTTCAAAAAGATCTTGTGCGATACGAATCCGGATTAGTTGGGTGTAAAAAATGTGAATACTAAATATTGAGTGGAACCAAAAAATCTTTTTACACACTGCATATTAGGAGTAGTGCTTTTCTGATATATATTGACGGTTGCATGTGTTGGGCACCGCCATTCCCCATTGCACTAATTGGATATGTAAATCAATCTGACATACTAATAAAATTAATGTTTATGAAAACCTCTTCTTCCCTTACTATAAATTTATATTTCACCTCTCACATGCTAGGTTGACTTAACAAGTCACCATCTTCTCCAGAAAAATTAATAAATATTATCTTTAGTTTAACTGTAATACATTAATTATCTTAGTTCATACATATAGTAGAAAAAACAAAAACCCTCCATTCTCTAATCCTCATTTCAACTAAGAGGGAAAGAGACAAAGTACAATGGGGTAAAAATTAATGCTAAGTGAAGGAAAAAAAAAGCCTCGGCGCATAAAGTATTTTGTGTTAACGCTTGGTTATAGGTCAGTGGTTGATTCAGTGGCTCGAACCCGTGATTTATAAGTCAGATAAAGACAACTTTACCGTTGCTCCTAAGCTCCCATCTAAGCGGTGAAAACAAAACGACTATAAGTATTGTCCTGTCCAAAGAAAGACTCCCTCTTGAGAGATATCTGAATTACATTTGTGGGACTCAAAGTTGTTGAGGTAGTGAGAGAGGTTCAAGAATGACTTTTCATCATCTGCAGCTACTAATTGATCATGTATTGGTGGACTCATAGGCAATAAATTAGCTGGATGATGATCTTGTGATTGCATTTGGATGCAAAGGATCTCAGCTTGAGCTAGTGCAAGTTGCATCTGCAGTCGGGAAACCTGGTTTTGTAAGTAAGATATGGCACCAACACAGCCATATACAGGATCCCTCATCCTTGCATTTGCTTCATACGCTAAACTGCTCACTGCATCTGCTCTTTTATTAACCGGAAGCTCCTGCTTTAAGGTAAAATAACTAGTTTAACTTCTACACACTGACAATATAAAGAAAAAAATATGTTACTCTATCAGATCATTTACGTCCTAAAAGACGACTACTAAAATAAGGCAACCTATCCGCTACACATGTTAAAATACTTTGATAGTGTAAACGTTCTTTACATCGTCAAAGTTAAAATCCAGATAGAAGTTGAGAAAGAACAAAGAAGGATATATGAACTTTTTCTATTGAATAAGCACTACTTCAAATGAAAAGATAATTAAACAAATAATAATCCCTTCAAAGGGTGTAAATAAGCTAAATTTCGACCTGTAACATTTTGCTGATATTGCTGGCACCAAAAACCTTATGAACAATGGCAAACTTTTGAGGATCATCGGAAGGGAAGTAAGGAGCAAATATACAATCCTTTGCACAACGGCGTCTCAGCAGCTTACATGAAGCGCATGGGGAGTTTCCTGCTGCACCCATCTATATATCTTTCTGAGTTATTGAAAGAGAGAGAGAGAGATACGGAAATGAGTATGAGACTAATTAAGTTAATTATGGAGAAGGGAAACTCAAGAGTGTGTGTATATTTATAGATAGGATATGATCTAGCTAGCTCAGCGCGTTCAATAGTACACCTTATTATTTTAATTAGTTTGAAGAGTGCTTCTCATGAATTTAAAATAATAGTAATAGATTTGACTAATTTAATTAGTTAAATATACAGGAGTAGTATCCCAGATGAGAAAGGACTTTTTAAAGTTTATAATTGGGGTTTGAAAAAAGAAGACCCCCAAATCATGTGGCGGAACGTTAAAAAGGTTAAACAAAATCAAGCTAGCTATGACTTCTGTTAGTCTAGGCTGGTGTCGTAAGCCTGTGTCTCTTCACTACAAAATCATTAATTAGAGATTTTTACCATCTTATACTAAATATGAAACTTTATTACTCTTCCTAATCAAATTTTAACTTATCTACATGGGCATATATAATTTATCAATTATATACAAATTAGTATTAATGAGTATCCTTTTATATTAGGAATTGAATAAGGAATCATCTCTTCATCAACATCATCAACAAGTCCTGGAGCCACTTCCTCTTCGTTCACCACTGTTCCACCCTTCACCAACCTCCTCCTCCTCCTCCTCCTCCTCCTCCTCTTCTTCTTCTTCTTCTTCTTTTTCTTCGTCTTCTTACCCACTACTAGACTACAAAAGAAGGAAGCCCTTGAGTCAATTCTGAAGAAGAAGAAGAAGAAGAAGAAGAAGAAGAAGAAGAAGAAGAAGAAGAAGAAGATATCTCATCTTAGGAAAGACGATGTTTAATGGCTCATCATCGAAATAAGGAGAGGGAGCAGGATCAGTAGGGACCTGGGGCTCTTTGGAAGAGCAGGGAGTTTCATCCCAAGTAGGAGCAGAGGGCTCCTCTTGGGCTGAGGGATCAGGTCCCTTATTTGTTTCCCCAGTAGTACTGTTACATGCCAGATTTTCAAGGGACACCAATTCCTTACCCTCTTCCTGATGACCTTCACCTTCCCTCCGAGATCCAATGGTCTTATTGACACCATCATAACCACCAACCAAACCTCCCTCTGCAGCGATTAACAACATATTCTCAATGGCTTCTTGTTCATTAACCCCCAAAATAAACTCAAAGGATACAAGAGGAACATTACATTTAGGGTTGGCAACATTCAAATCGATGCTTGGAATGATCTTTTCACTACTACGAACCACATCCTGTTAGGCTTCAGCACCCTCTCCAACTTTCTGACTAGAAACTTCCGGACCTTCTTCTCCGTCTACTGTTTCTCCTTTTACCATTTTTTCTAGCAAGGCAGAAGGCGAGGTCACAACAACAAACCTTTTAGGGTTCTGAGTCTTACGACTCCGGTGAGAGCCAGAACTCAATTGGGTTAGAGAAGAAGTAGTAGGTGGTTGAGGGTCTGGTATGGGGTTTTGATTGGGTGACAGAGGGGACTTAGACTCTCGCTCCCATACTTCGTGAAACGCAGACACAGTGGGGACTACACTGAAAACATTTGAGACTTCTGGATTTTCAGACATAGTGAAGATTTGCAGTGAGAACACAAGAAAAATAGTGTTTGATTTTGAGAGAGAAGGGAATTTTTGGCTTTGATGTGGAGTGAGGAAAGAGACAGCATTTGGGTTTATTTAGAGACGGTGAGGGACCAGTTGCGAACGGGTATACATTTCTAGGTAGATGGGTCGTTTAGTAACGGGTATACTGTTTAACCAAAAAATAGAATTTTAGTCAAACCTAGAATTTAGAAGAATGCGGGTTACTGATAATCAAAAGAATATGTAGAAGAAAGTAATTTGGGGTAACCAGAGTATAATCAGGAGAAAAATAAGTGAATCAAAGTATATCCAATAGTATTTCGTGTTTACAAATGATCAGATACCTTCCTTTTATAGGTATCTTGAAGATATGCATTTTCCCCAAATCATAATGAGGCTATTATGAATAATTAAAGACATTGAATGCTACGTTACACAATCATTATAATCAATACAAATTCTCTAACGTATCCAGTATTTAATGACTGTCAAATTCCGTATCTGCGCTTTTTATTATGGTCAGATCCATTCCTTTTGATAAATGACTTAAATAGGTACGGGCGCTGAATCCTTCGAATGTCCTCCCGTGCCTCTTCCTTTGCCTTTGCTTGTTTCTATTGTTGCCCGTGCCTCTTGACTAATTATAATTCTTTGACTATTTGACCAGTCCACGTGTCTCAACATGTCACTTACATATATAAATGCAATTTTTTCCAATACAGATAGTCCCCCCACTTTCCATTTATTCATCAATTGAATATTTGGAAAGTGGATTTCATTAAAACGAGAATTTTTGTCACCATTAATGCTATGACAAAATTGACGCTTCAATTGTCACTTCCATTTAATATTCCGTACACGTATCGATTTCCCATTGGCTCTGCAGTTTTTGCAGCCTTTTTCAAGGTTTTTACGGTTCCACTATTAATGAAGTGCCAATTATCATAATTATGGTCTTTCCACCTCCGCACTTTTACCTTTGGCGGTTGCTTATCGGTATACATATAACTTTTTTCCCTTGTCTTTTATCACATAAAGCTTATTGAACACTTATTTCTCCAAATCTCTGTTTACTTCTTCCTTAAATCATTCTTCTTTGATATGTCTTCTCCAAGCCCTAACCCTGAGAGAGTTTCCATTACTGACTCCTTCCTCATTGCCCCTGTTAGGCACAGAAGGGGAGGTAGACTTCGTAGTTTAGGATCTACTCGAGGTGGTTCGTCTATGCCTTCTTCTAGTTCTGGTCCTTCTTCTAGAACTAGAGGTCCCCTTTCTCACAAATCTTCTTCTAGGGGTAGAGATCATTCAGAACCTTTACGCGAACCTTTAGTAGATGAGATGGTCCCTTCAGAATTGTCTTTTTACGATGACAGAGAATCTTTTAGAAACCAGGTTTCCGCATTAGATCGTGTCGATGCTTACCCCACTCAAATTACAGAGGTTTTGACTCTTATGGTTCATAAGGACTGTCATTGGAGTAATGATTTTCCCATTATTATCCCTAATCTGAATCAGAGAATTACTTCTTATTTAACCGGGTTCTCTTTTGTTTACACTTACCCTTTTACTTTAGGGTTTAGACTAGCAATCAACCCAGTCATTCTTGAATTTTGTCGTTTCTTCAATGTCTGCTTGGGTCAAATTGGGCCAATCATATGGAGGGCTGCTTCCTGTTTAAGGCATTTAGCCACTAAAGCTGAATCTCCTTTTACTTTCCCTCGCTTGATTCATCTTTACTCACCTAAGCTTTTTCACAATAGTGTTTTTACACTAGTAGCCAGGAGTAAGAGGGTTTTGGTGAGCCCTGAAGATGACAAGGATCGTGGCTGGTATGCCCGATTTGTTGCTGCCCCCACTGTTGGTTTAGTGGGTAAAGATAATGTTCCCTTCCCTGAGAAGTGAAATTTTGCACGTAGGTCTTTTATCCCTCTCGTACCTTCTTCTTTCAAGTTTATCAACTTTTCTAATTTACCCCCCTTTTTAGCAACCATGGGAGTTGTGGGGGATGTTCCCAATTTCCGTGGTTGGGTAGATAAATTACTGAAGATCGTACCAACGGATGGTAGATCTTGGAAAACACTTTCTAACCGCTTTGGTTGGAAGGTAAAGACTCATGGTAAGAGTTCATATTTTGTTCTTTTCGTGCCTATATTCTCCTTTATTGTTTTAACTTTTATCCTTCTTTTTGTCAGGATTTGCTATTTGAGGGGTTACTGCTGAAGCAGTTGCAGCTCATGTCTCTTTGGGAACCCGTACTCCTTCGGGAACCCGTATCTCTTTAGAAAGAGCCCGAGAAATAGTCTTGGGTTCCACTTCTGCGAAAAGGAAGGCTGCTGAAGAGGAAAATTCTGAAGAAGAGGAAAATGAGAGTTCCCTGGTAACGAGACCACGAGTTAGGATACGCATCATTTCCGATGACGAAGCTGAAGTTTCGGTTTCTCTTACCGAACCTGTTGAAACCCCAATAATAATTCCTGAGGATGACGTCACTCCCCATGATACTCATGAGTCTATTGACCAACTTTTCGTCAGTGGATTTGGTCGTGAAGATGTCGGGCCTGTTTTAGACAAAATACCTTTATCGTCTTTTTCATTACCCATGCCTATGATTCCTTCTTTACCGGCCCCAAATATTTTCGTTCCTTCTTCTACTGCTCTTACCTCTTCTCCGGCTCCTCCTTTGACTATTCCCCCTCCTATCGTTCATCATACTGAAACGGGCTCTTCAAGTAGAAGTGCCGCTATGAGGCGAGTAATTATTGAAGTTCCTACTGAGAGCAGCCTTTTGAGAAAGTCAGGTCAGGCAGATGTATGGCTGGAGCCTCTTATTGTCCCAATTGAAAAAGCAAAGTTGGAGAGTCACAGTTCCCTGAATTTAATGAATGATATCGTGCATGCTACTCTGAAGGTATTTTTCTTCTCTCCCTTTTTTACTTTGCAAAATTTTTCATCTTTGGGATTCTTATTTCTTTTTTAGGCTAATCTTATCGGCACAGAATTGATGAAAAGAATTGCCCCTTTGGAGAAGATAGCACGCGACTCTCAATTGGAAGCAACCAATTGGAAGGGGCAATTTGAAAGTGCACAACTTGATATAGAGGACTTACAAGAGAGCAAGAATACCTTAGAGCAGCGAGTACGAGTTTTAACTTCAGAATTGGCGGTTACAAAAGCCTCTTCAAACCAAGTAGAAAAAGAAAAAGAGCATCTCGAGTCCTCCTTCTTAGAGCAGCTATCTAAAGCTAGTGAAAAGATCAGAGAATTAAAGGCTCTTTTATACCAAAAGGAAGTTTACGCTGGGGAACTTGTGCAAAATTTGACTCAAGCACAAGAGGACCTCAGAATCTCTACTGATAAGGTGCGTGCTTTAGAATGCTCCCACGCCTCTCTTCAAGCCCCCCACAGCTCCGCCTTGGCTGAAAATGAAGAGCTAAAAAATGAGATCGCTGCT